ATATTTCTCAACTCCATAGAGAAATTCCACACTAAACACTTTGATACCCGCGAGTTATAGAGTTGAACCTTCAGTTTGAGATATACTTGATGTAGCATGTGTTAGGGTTGGCGGTAAGATGGCCATGGCTTGATACACACTCACACATTTGGCATGTGTTCTTAACATCCTGGTCATCATTTTACAAGACTTCATGAAGAAAAAGGAGGAGAATGTTGTATTCCACATAGTTTGGCCAAAATGAAAGGTTAGGGGGTATTGTGCAAAGTCTGATGCTTTTGTATTACAAGAACGATAGAATAATTTTATTTGTAGTCTCGAATGGTGGAGATTTTTGCTAGATAAATGAAGAATGTAAGTGAGGTGGTAGAAGAATAATGTCCATCGAAATTTCTTAAGAAGTAATGTATTCAGAACTAGTTCGGAAGCCGAAAGATCGTCTGAACATTGACAATCTAATGTATGCAATGAGTTTGAAGGTGCAAGTCTGATCACGTATATGATCATTTGGTGTCAAAGAATTTGTACTCCTGTCACGAAAATTAGTCTCCACTAATTGCCTCCATTGGTGTTGAAGTTTCCTTCATTGTTCATGTCATCACGAACTTTTTGTCCGTCACCATCATTTTCCTCATCTATTATGTCTACGGTTTCATCATCAACACCTTCTACCCACTCAATAGCAAAATCAAGTAAAATTTCTAACCATTTTTGTATTACCCCTTCTCATGTCGGCCTCAATGTTGGCAACACAGGAAGCTACATGTAAGTACAAATGAAAATGATCATGGAGACAATTACACTTGGACAAGATCATTCGATCCAAACCATCAAATCGACCTGGAAAATCGAAAGAGATAAACCCAAAACTTTGTTTTTGATTTGGGGCAGGTTCACAGTCCGTCAATTCCATTTCTGGGTTCGGAAACCTCAATTTAATGATCGATTTTTTTATTAAAAAAATAGATTTAAAGAAGAAAAAATCGCGCTGTCAATTCGGTTACAGCTTAGAATTTTCGATTCCAATTAAAATGTGTGACCTTAATTAATTAGTTCTGAGAGTACCATTATCATTATATGAATTTAAGAAAGAGACAGACAATGATACTAATTTTTCATGTAATATAAATTTACTCAAAAGTAAACGTTTTAAGCATAATTCAAACTTGGAATGTTGAAAATGTTATTGCAGTTGGCAGTCTTTACTAATGGCAAGTTAATGTTTTAATTGACTGCTAACCGAAACCTAATCTACAAACCTCTTATTAATGACAAAGATTTTTACGCCTCACACAATGTCAACATTAATATACACTTTAAATATCCAAACCAACTATGCACGCTGAAGTATCAAAATCTGTGACATTGGTTATTTAAAGCATTGTTAAAATCTTAAAAATTTGCCAGCTCACCATAATGTCAAACTTGATGTACATGGATCAAGATTGAAGTACAAATAAACATATTCCTTTCGAGAGTACGTGGTTGAAAAAAGAGTTTGAAGAAAAATAAAATTTAAAGAAATGCATATGTACAAAAACTAAGCCAAAACCAAAACAAAATTTTAATCAAGATTTTAATCA